TGCATAATTTGATTTTCTAGGCCAGAACTATTGTGGAGACTGTCTAAAGAAAAGAACCAACCCTACGATTGTAGGATGTCCCAGGTTAAGGTAATCAGTAAAATTTTTAGGAAAGAACTTTTTTCTTGCCGAGACATCGGAAATATTTTAAGGTTAAGGTTGAACCCCTATATTTAAAACTTGAAAAAAAAAATAAAAGGGACACTCCTCTATGCAAGGGCATAAACAAAAAAACTCCATAAGAAAATTGAGAGTTGTCGAGGCATACGAGTGAATGAAAGTAGTCACAGGATGACTCTACCAGCTAGCTTGGGGGTGGAAGGTATGCTCTCTTTCACCTATGGTGTGGGAAGGTAGGTGTGATGAACTGACTCCAAAAAAATTGATAAATAACTAGGAGTATAAACTAAGCCTGACAAATAATTTGATGCCTTGACAAACCATAATCACTTACTTTAAGTTTTCTAATTACCTTAATTCATAGACTGATTATAATCACGCACACACAATAACAATGAATCCTGACTAGGGAAGGGACTTAACTGATATGATCGTCAACATCTTGAGGCCAAATTATTTTTTTTTGCTGAGGGCTGAAATCTCAAACCATATGATTTTCTTAACATTGCTTTGCCATGACAATTTTGATTTTTTTCTAGCTATGGTACATTACTTGAGGACAACCAATACTTAAGTTTGGGGGTGTGAAAACTCCGTAAAAAGACTTAATTTCTAGTCTTTTCACTTAAGTTATTGCTCGTCTAAACAAAGTATGCACAATATTTTAGTTGCATTTAGGTTATATTTGCTTGTGGTGGATAAGTTTTGCTTCAGCAAGATTTATTTGGTTTAACTGATGCTGTTGAGGATAAAGGGTTTTTGTGAATTGTGTATGTGCAGTAAATTTACTTAGGAAGAACATTTCATTCGCGACAACGAAATTCGTAAGGGCCAATAGAATAGAGAAGATAAAGAACGTAAGGGAAGATTTATCTCGCCAAGTCAAGGTTTATCTGGAAAGTCTGAAGCAGGTATGACGAAATTGCCTATGTCACAAGCCAGCTGTACGACTTCCTTCACGTGTAAGCAAGCCCTCAAAATTCTTACAGCCGTCTTTCCTTTTTAGTCTGAACAAGATAGCAATGGTTATTTAAGGAATCTCCACTCATGTGAAACCCCAGGAGATTCCCATATATAAATATCCAATCGTAGCCACCAAAGAAAAAAAAGAGAGGAGATGAAGTTAGAGCTTTAGTGAAAGTGTGAGCGAGCAACTACAGTGCTTTCCCACCATTTACCAACCTTCCTTGGTGTCCTCCTAGCCAGACTATAGCAGAGCGGTGGTCAGGTCTCGAGAGAGGCTGATCACCAAGGTAGGCACGGTGCTGATCAGAATTGTCACGATAGAGCCCCCGGTTTTGGGAGTCGTTCTTCCTTTGTTCTTAAGTTCTTTATATATTTGGGGTTGTATTAAACGATGATACTTGGATGACTTTTTTATAGAACCATGACTGTCTTACTTGGTGTTAAACTTTGTATTGCCTAGACAATTATTTTCTACTTTATGAATGATGAATTATGATTTTTTTCATGACTGTTTTGTTCATTGTTTGAATATTTTACCTTGACACTGTAAGAGCTTTGAAAGATAGCCTAGGGTCTTGGTGAAACATGTCTTGGCAATGTAAGAGCGTCGAGGGATTACCTTTTGTCTAGATATTGATTATTAGATTCGAGAGAATTAAGATAGATCTACGTGAGTAATAGAATAGATCTGGGATGGTGATGTTCTAACTTGTCTACCTTAGAGATAAGGAGTGGGTTTCATTCGACTAGAAGGGATAGATGCTAGAGTAGGATAGACAACGACTATAGTTCACGCTGAGAGGTATTGCTACAACAACAGTCTAACAAACCAAGGGTTATAGTTAACGCTGAGTAGTATTGCCATTGCAACCATCTAAGAATACTTAGCAATTCTGTCGGGCAGCTTGAGCATGTCATAATAATTCATTCTGGACTTAGAATAATTGTTTGTCAACACAAAAGATTACCTTATATTACTTGATTCAATTGTGTATACTTGAACATAATTGCTTGTCTTAACATATACATTTACAAGTGACCAAACCCCAATCCACACAAAATTTGACCATAAGGAGTTAACATCATACATATCAAACATAAGCCTCATAAACGATTTCACCAAGAAGCAACCATCACCCTGTCCAAACCAAACATAATAATCATCATTGAACTCAGAGGATAGAAAATTGTCTAACAACGTATACAGTTGAAGCAACTGCTCTATCTCTCAATCTGCTAAGTTCCTCCTCAACTGAATATCCCAATACTACTCAGACGAGCTTCTTATTCTAAAGTCAACAATTCTCCCTTCTTTTTTAGTTGAAATGATAAACAATCTTGGAAATCAATTTTTCAAAGGCACACCATCAAACCAAGCATCATGCCAAAATAAAAAAGATTCACCATTGCCGACCCTAATGAGAGTATTGCCCTTAAATCAAGCACCAAAATCATCACATACATAACAACTCTTAACTATCCATTTCCATATCCAATAAGCTCTCGAGGAAATCAATTTGTCGACAGCAAAGGATTTCAAGTCGAGATTATTAACATGGCATATAACCATTTTCCACAATGACTTTTTCATAAACGAACTTCCACATCCACTTCCCTAAAAGAGATATATTCATAATCTCCAAATTTACTATTCTCATGCCACTCATTTCCTTTGGTATGCACATCAATGCCCACTTTACCCAGTGGACACTTTTCCTGTCACTTGACCCCCACAATAAGAACCGCACCATAATAGCATTTAACTTTTTTAGCACACAAGAAAGAATTCTGAATAGAGACATAAAGTATATTATCAAGGAGCTTAACACAGACTTGATCAACACTACTCTGCCTGTTAATGACAGGGTAGCCATATTCCAGTCCTCTAACTTCTTTTGGAACCTCTGCATTACAGGATCCCAAATGAAGGCCGAATTCCTTTTTTCCCCAAGAGGAAGCCCTAAGTAACCAGCAGGAAATGAGCCAGCCTAATAACCCAAAGATCTAACCCAATCATTAATAACTTCTTTTAGAGAGGTTTTAAACGAGGTACATGGTAATAATCCCCTTTTCACCAAAAAAAAATACATACATAAAAGGTTGTGTTTCCTCATCCAATCCACCCCTAATACCATATCACTACCCCCATTTTTAGAACCCTAAAGTAATGTTAAAAAATATGTCCTTGCATTTTCCATTCTAAAATTTTGCTTTTTGTTGTACTCTGCAACTTCTCTCCACTAACTACAGTATTTACTAATGGTAGTGAATTCACTAATTCCTCTCCTTCTTTAGCCCATAAAGGTTTATAAAATTGTGAGTACTTCCACTGTCCACAGTATACTTAAATTTCTTACTTTGATTGTTCCACTAATTCTTAAAGTACTATGACATGTATTGCCAGTGATGGCATTTATGAAAATTTCCAAGTTTTCTTCCTCATGTTCTGTATTTTGTAAAGGGCTTAATTTCTGGTTTATCTCAATAGTGTACTGGTCTTGAGTTATATTATCTTTTTCCATCATGTTCAGTTGTTTCTGTTTATACTAATGAGCAGGACCAAGCTTCTCCCCACATTTAAAACACACATTATTTGTTCTCATGTAATCGAATAAGCTTTGTTTGTTATTATTTAGAAGAGGAGTGTGGTTTCTTTGAATAGTAGGTCTTGTCTGCCTTAAATTTCTTTGTCCATAATAGTATGAATTTTGAGGATTCATCTTAAATGTTGTTATGGTTTTTCTATTGTCTACTTCCAGAGCTAATTCATACAGTTTTGCTTTTCTATAGGCCTCATTTAATAGTTATGGTTCATGCACCTTCACTTTGTGGTTTAATTTTTCTTTAAGCCCACTTATGAAACTGGATACAAAGTAGCTTTCACCTAGATGAGGGTTGTGTTGAAAAATAACTGGCCTTAACTCTTCAAATTGAGTTTGATATTCTGCTACTGTAGTCTTTAGGTACAACTTATTAAATTTATCTATTACATGAGCAAAATTTATGTCACAAAATCTATGATACAAGTCTGCAACAAATTCCTACCATGTAATTCTATGTTTTTGCATCATATATCCATCATACCAAATTTCTGTTTGTCCTATCAAGTAGATAGTAGCAATTTCAAGTTTTTGATGTTCAGGAATTGTAAAAATAGCAAAATCTTTTTCACATTTTCGGATCCAACTTCGAGGGTTAGCTCCATGAAACTCTTGTAGTTCAATCTTAGGTTTTGGTACATTAACATGTTGATATTGTTGTTACATTGAAGAAAATCCCTCTCTATTGTTCCAATTATTCCCTATATTAGGCCAAGCAGTATTATAAGGCGTGGTGGGTGGGTGCAATGGTGTTTCTTGAAGGGTAGAATGACATACCATATGAGGTCTTGAAGATAAAATGCCCGGTTCTTTAGGGTCAAAAGAGTACCTTTCTTTCTCGTTGATTACGGTTAGCTGTGTGGGTCTTTTCCCTCAAGCTTACTATGGTGTTTTGATTGGGAAATCGCAGGTGACGATTCTACAGTATCTCCTGTCTTGGACATGAGTTCCAAGATCCTCTGCAAGTAGCCATGAATTTCTTCAGTTCTGGATTCCAGCGCAGACATTCGTTTTTCCAGCGTATCTTTTTGTGCTGTCTACCAAGCTGGTAAGTCTTCTTGTGTTTCTTCCTTTTCTTTATTTTCTGGTGAAGGATCCTGAATAGTTGTTGAGTCATGGCTTCCATTGCCTTTTTGTTGCATTTTCTTTATTTTACCCAATTTGATGGTGGATCAAGAATGGCTCTGATTACCAATTTGTTATGGATTAGGATGATAGAGAAGATTGAGATTACAGAGAGTTGAAGAAGAAGATCAGTAAGTTTTTATTTCATTTGTTCAAAAAATTATCATTCTAAGTACAATAGATTCCCCTTTATACTATTGACTTCCCTGCTGACTAATTACAGGGTTAACGAAATGGAATACACACCAACAATCCATACTATTGGACCTGTCTTCAGCCCAATACCTATTATACAGCATTACCTCCCCATTAACTAAACGACACCGTTCTATTTTACCAATGCGACGACGTTGCACTAAAGATGATCGGGTATCATCTTCAACACCCAACTCCACTTCCAAAATTCCCAAATCAATTTCAGAAACCCTCGATTCCCCAAATTCCTCCAGAAACCCCAAAATCTTCACAACCCAAACCCTAATTCGATTCCATGGCCGTGACAGCAGGCTGGCTGGAATCAACTTAATTAAGCTGCACATGGGTGGACGCTTTATGACCCAAGAATTTGCCTGCTAAGAAACCCATAATGATAATCTTTTCAGCACCAAGAGGTGACCTACACAGACTGTACCTATATAGCACTTGAAGGAAATCCAATTTTTTTTTAGTAATAAGGAAATCCAATTCACAATGATGGAGTAGGAAGGGGAAACGACCACACCTCAAAAGAGCGCTTGCCTGGATATGAATCTTAATGGTTGTTCTGTTTTCAAGGTCTGGTTTTGAATGGTCACTCTTCAGTCCCAGATGGTGAAGATGGGTTAATAGTGTAAGCATTTTTATGTTCTCTTGGACTTCTGTATTGTTTGTGGCTGTCTCAGTGGAAGATAAGAGTTCAAAATTCCATTTTACAAGCTTCGTTTTTACAGTTAAAGCAGGACATACTCGAATACAATGACAAGGAAACAAAAATCCTGCAGCATGTGAAAATTGCAAGATGATGTTCACTGATACATGAATATTTTTTTCTCTCTACATGCACAGTTTCAAAGTTGTGCTTCAGAAAAAAAAACGTACTGATCAACTATAACTTCATTATGTCATACTTACAGCAAGTGGTTAAAAGGAGGAGAAGAAGAAGCTACAATGTAAAAGTCCATCCCCTATGCTTCATTATCGACTGTGCAGTGCCGCCGGGGAAGCTGGCCCCTCTTGATGAGCTTTGCCAGCATCAAGCTCCTACTCCAAGAGCCTCGGTCTCACATGATCTAAAACATAGGTCAATCTCCACACAACAATCTTCGTTGCTGCAACAATAGCCAACAAGTATGCCAGCAACCATCACTCCTCGATTTGACAAAACAGTGACTTGAAAGTAATTTCTATAAACACCAAAATTATAAATTGGAATTTTGATCTAGGGGCTAGGCCCCGTATTTCATTTCATAGGACTTTATAACACTTCTCTATAGTAAGTGGATTAACTAGGTGGTGTGAAATTATCAATCACTGGCTTCATTTCGATCTAGAGGCTAGATCCCATATTTCCTTTCATTCAGCTGACTCACATTTGACAGAATATTGAAACACATGCAACCTTATCAGAATAGGACCAAGCTAAAGGTTCCAAGACTGTAGAATTGAACTACTTTATAGGAGAATGAAACCTACATTATATTTAGATGCTCGTATATTATCCAGCCACTCAGCAATCTCAAGTTGCTTCACTACTGTAGCATGTAGGACCTGTATAAAATGACACCATTGTCAAGAAAACTATCAGCATTGAAATCGAATCCAGCATCTGAACCTCTGACTTTAATAAAGCATCCAAGATGAATCATACTCGCTTTGTTTTGTCGAGGTCAAACTCAATATATTTGATCCGGTCCAGAGATTCCATGAGCATTTTCTCCTTTTCTACGGGAATTACAGCAGGCTTGTTGCTAAGTTCCTCAAATGTTTTCTCAAGTTTCTGAAGACGTTCAATGCAAGGACGGACATGGTCTTCTTCATTAACTGCTTCTTGCACTGTTGAATTTGAATGGCTATTCCTGTTGGGCTCCATCATATTGGAAGGATGAATATAGTTTGGCCTTCTCCAAGATTCAAATCTAACAGTGCGAATAAAAGCAGCCAGTCTAACCAATAAAATTATTAGCATTTTTGCCACAGAATGAACAGTCCTCCCAAACTTTTCCTTAACAGAGTCTAACAAATGTGTGATTGACGTCCCTGAAATTCAATACCATTTTAGAGGGGGAAAAGAAAATCCAAAGGGTAGGGGATTCTAATAGAAAACATCCATCAACTATATTATGGTAAATTATCAACATCAAACACTAGATTAGATAATAAACAAGAAATTGGTTACCGTGATGAAATAGCATTTTCAAATACCTTGTGAAAGAAAATATGCTCTTTGATGAGATTGGCTATCCACATTACTAGAATTGGGCAACTGATCCGGGGAATATATCGGTCCTTGGTCACTTTCTATAGTTTTCTCAATCCTAGGGAAACCGTCATCGCATCTATAATAAGCATTTGGATCTGACACCTTCACCTGCATAAATCACAAGAGATCTTATTAAAAAGGCCAGAAATGCACACCAGTTACCAATAAAACAGAATTCTCTGCTTTTGCAACTCACTTCTTCATGAACAGGTGCCAAACAACAAAATGCAGAGCTTGTTCGTCCAGTTGGAGAACGCTCATCCATCTCTAATCCAGACTCCGCTACTAATGTGTCACTGGTCATTCCCTGACAAGAGTATATGTTGAAACACATGCACGAGAATATATTATAGTCACAGAATATTAATTTACTGAATGGTTGCAAGACACGAAACTTACCTTTAGTGGTTGTATTTGTACATAAGATTCATAGTTATCCTGGTCATTCAACACACTGGTAATTTGCCTCACAAATATTGCCTCCGTATTATGTACAAGCTATCAGTGGAAACAATACACATGTTAATCTCCAGATGAAAGTTCAGTAAAACCTAAAATCATGTCTAACAAACCATTCCATGGACTAAAAGGATGGCTACCTTCATTATATCTGGATCATTCCATGGTCCTTTATTGGATCTAAGACACCCTCCATCTGTAGAGCAAGAGCATGACCCTCCTAAGAAATCTGGCAACTGACTGAAAGAGGTGAAGAAAAAGCAAGGGATTAGGAGATACTGCAGGGTGAATTCTCTCAAGCGTAAGAATGAACAGATATTTAACAAACCTAGAGTCGATGACCTCCAGTAGCCTACAGAGAGATTTGGGCTCCAAGACCTGCAATTAGCAAATAGAGCATTCAATGACCACTGAGCAGGATAAAGCAAATAGAAAGAAGAATCCCTAAAGCCATATCCTTTACATTTATCTTCCCAATTGTCTTTGCATCGAGGAATCTCTGAGCAGCAGGCCAAAGCATCTTCTTGAATCCAGGACTAGCATTGACTATATACATTCTATGTAATGTCTGTAAAAAAAATAAAAGAGAATTACTTTCCAAATAGCAACAGAAAGTAAAAACATGAACGGATTAGATTAGATACCTCAGGGTAATAACTGTTGTCTATTTTACTCATGGCAGCCAGAAGATTTGCAGCAGTCCTGCTAAAATTCTTCATGCCCTACATTCGAGAATAACATTTAATCATCAATTAGCGGAAGAGCAATCACTTCAAAAACAACACTTAATCACCAATTATAACCATTTGGCTGCTGTGGAGGAAATAAAATTTGGTACACTGTTCAAATACAGGTAATCAGTGAGTATAATTCTACCACTTGGTTTCCATAATGGAAACAACAAACACGAATCACTAGAGGAAGAACGCATTGCAACATCCCACAGAAAATATGACAGACCCAATTGCACACTCTCTTAGAGTCTCCGTTCCAAGTCATCATCTAAATGATGCCATAGCAAAGATTAAGGTAAAATAAGCATTTGCATTCTCTTCTAGTCTAGGCCCATGCTAAAAGAAAAATATTGTGTAGAATAACAATGCAAATTTTTCTAAAAGTTGAAAGGCTAGAAAAGTTTTACCAGAATGTTATTATTAATGTTGTCAAATATCAATTTGTTGAAGGGAGAAAAAGATAAGAGTCAAATACCAGTCCTTGTACATCCAATATGGTAGTTGTTAAACAGATTTGTCGCTTTGAAGCAATTGAACAAGCAGGGAATTTCTCCAATAGAGCTCTCTCAAACTCTTGGACATGGTACTTTAGATATCGATCTATGGTCGTGATTTTCAAAAGCCGACTTGGATGGGCTTTTCCTAGCTGCTCGATATAAACAGGTCTCCCTTCCTTGTCAACTCCATGGTACCCTTGGGGGTAGTATTGCAATACTTCCTCTTGCTCTTCAAAATCGAAATCCTGTTCATTCGACAAAAGGTTAAACTTGTCCTAGCCCTTAACCATGAAAACAAAATAATAATTAAGGGTGCCAGACTATTTGAACCAGTAAATGTAATGCCATACATTCATTTGAGATTTTCTGTTAACTCTTCTCTAGTGAACAAGCAATGAAAGAAATACAACAAAGTAAACACTTCTCACCTCTAGAATGGTATCTGTTCCAAACTCTTTCCTCCATTTAAGCATTTCCTCCCACATCTGGATTGTTTTCTCAATATTAAACTCTCTAGCTTTCAAGAATCTACAAGTTAAATAAGTAGTACTTCTCAGCTTCCGTTAGAAAGTAAGCCTGATATAAACAAATAGAGCAGTGAAATTTGCCCAAAGAAACAACTGACCTCAGCAAAGTATGATAATCATCATGCCTAGGAGTCAACAAATCCTTATAAAGAAGTTTTTGATGAAATTCGTGCACGGCAGCTTCCTCTTTTGCATCCCTGACATCCTCAATGGATACAGAAGGAACTCTGTAATCAATTTTCTTCTTCCCTCTTTTCTTAAGAGAATGAGTGAACTTGTTGGATGCATTTATGGCCTTCTTTTTAAGATTCCCAATTTTGGATCTCCTTCTTTCATCCTCAGAGTTATCAAAATCAGACTTTCTATCTCTGCTTTCATCATTTGCACCAATTTCGTCCACCCCTTTTCCCAACACAATAAATTAAAGAGGATATAAATGCATTTTCCACAATAAAACCAGCAAACATATAGTAGGATTAATTAATATACCTGACATCTCTGCACGACTGAGAAGGAAAAGCTTTGATCTTTGAAGCTATTAGATCTTTGAAGCTATTAGTGTTGTTCAATGGAATGTAAAAAAATCATCATGATCTGCACATTGTGGAAAACAATTAGAAAACAAAAACAAATGAATCAACTGATATAAATACGCAATGATTATTAAAAAAAGCAGCAAATTTTATGGAAAAAATTAAAAAGTAAACCTAAAATGAAATTTAGAGTTGGGATATGACAAGAAATAATGAAGAGAAGATCAGATCTGGACAAAAGAAACCGAATAAGGATTTTCTCAGTTATCATTAAGTTTGCTTATGACTGCTGAGGCTACAAAATAAAGAAATAAAATAAATTCCCAAAAATGGAAAATTTCTTCTCTTTAACCAAAAAACACCACCAAAATGAAAGCATCAAACTCCAGTGGAAGTAGAACAACGGAGGAGTTAAGTGTTTGGCAGAGGTGAAAGAGAAAACCGTTAAAAATGAGAGAAAAAGCAGAGTTAAAGTTATTAAAAAATGAATGGCGCCGCATCGCATTGAAATATCATACGATACAATGCTTTATCATTTACTACATAAAAATCGTACGGATCCCCAATCCTCCATTAAGAAGCAAGAGAAAGAAGAAGAAGAAAATCCACTCACATTCAAGACTCCAGAGAGAGAAGGTGAGAATCTATCAATCAAACACCAAACCGCACCGAATTTCTCGATAATAGAACAGAGAGAGAACTCAAATGAAGAAGAAAGAAAACACACCATACAAGTAAAAAGAATAAACTTCGCGTGTGGAGGAATTTGTAGTCCTAACGTTAAAAAATAAGAAGAAGAAAAAAAACAACAAAATAAAAATGTTTCTGAAAGATCTGATCTGACTTTTATCCTCTTTTCAGTTTCAAAAAAAAATGAAAACAAATCAGAAAATGGATTTTTTTTAATTTTCTCTCTGTATAAAAAGAATAAAAGTAAAAAAAAAAAGGAGCAAAAACGCTGAAGCAACAAATGAAGTTTCCAGCGAGAGAGAAAAACTGAAAGAGAGAGAGAGAGAGAGAGAGAGAGGGAGGGAGGGGGGAGATTCAGCTTAAGCTCAAAGCTCTTGCCATCTTTTATTTGTGAGATAAGCTTTGCAATTGTACACGTGGCATTTTATCATTTATTTATATTTTTTAAATGCGGCTAGTGTCAGTTTTAATCGGTTAATAACTGAATTGGTATTATTAATAATAAGTTCCAATTTTAGTACAGTGAATAGAAGAAAAAAATGATTAAGAGTGTCTTTTAGGGTGTGTTTGGTTGGGGGAATGTGAGATTTTTATTGGAATGGAATCTACATTCCCTTATTTGGTTGGCCGGGAATGTCATTCCAGGTAATCTTACATTATCTTGGTTGGCCGGGAATGTCATTCTCGGTAATCTTACATTATCAATAGTGAATTTTTTGGGTATATTACCGGAAATGTCATTACGTCCATTCATTTAGGTATTGTTGGATTACCAGCGTTTTTAACTAAAATACCCTTAAAAAAAATTTCTTTAAAAAATATTCTTATTCTGTCATTGAATAATAAAAATTCTACGAAGGTTCAATTATAAATTTATCCTTAAATTATTTTAGATTTACAAAAAAAAAGTCTATAATTAAAATTTTATATGAAGTTCAGGGATTAAAATACAATTTTACCATTTTATTAAACATTTTTATATTTTCAATTTTGTAAAAAAAATTATATAAATTTTATGAATTTAAAATTTTTAAAAAATATATATAAATATTTTTCAACTTGTTAAAAATTATATATATATAATAAGGACAATTTGGTAAAATATACATTCCAATAATCTTTTATTCCTTTAACCAAACATTGTAATCTTACATTCCTACTAAACCAACCAAACACAAAACACAACATTCCCAGTAATCCTATTCTCTGGTAATCTTTTATTCCCACTGGTAATCTTACATTCCATGAACCAAACGCACCCTTAGGGATGATGGTTTATTATTTTTTATTAATTTAAAATAAGTATAAGGTAATATTTATTTAAAAATAATTATTTAATATTAAACGCTCACACATTTTATATTTTTAATACTCGAGTTCGAGATCTCAAAGAATAATAATAATTAATTTGCCATCAAGGTCGCTTGATTTGTGCGGTGGTTTACTTTGAAATAGATAAATTTTGACTTGATTTGACAAGATTAATTTAAAAAAACGACTCGGCCCAATTTAGAACAAATTCTTTTATAAATTTAAGGATGATTATTATAATACTCATTTTTTTATATTTTTTTAATTAAACTCTTATTATATCAAGTAAAAATAATTTTTTATACATTTAAGTCGAATCTCATGAGGATATAGGTTTTTACTCAAAAATTCAGATTGAATTGAATCATGTTCCAGTGGAGAGAATATATTCCTTAGGTTGAATCGAATAGGTGATGTATGCTCCTCCTATCAAGTCGAATTAATTAAAAACTTAATCCAATTCAACCCATTACTAACTCTAGTTTCGTTTCAATCCTTTATTAAGTTTTTCATTACAAAAAGTTTAAGTCAACTCGGGGTTAGAATATACTTAAAATCTAATTAAAATTTACATAAGAATTTATAAATTATCCACAAAAAATAATATTAGTGAGATTCGAACTTGACCTTACAAATTTAAATTCATGAATCTCAATCACTTGTACCAATTATAGTTGCCAAAAAAACTCTAATTTCGTTTCATGACAAAAATCTATAATATTCTATCCAGATTTAAATATGATTCATCTTTTCATGGTGTTAAATATCGTTGAAAGATGAATGCAATAAGTCAAAGCTTGGCAGTATTAATATTACATAACAAACAGGAGGAGGCAGTGTACAATCAACCACGCCACACAGACAAAAACATGACAAAATTTTCACTACCAACAACTAACAACTCTCTGCTGCCTGTCAGTGGCAAGCTCTGAGTATCATAAACACCCCCACCCACCCATCATCCTGCATTTACCATCATCACCTCATCATCATACCATGCATACATGCTCCCCTTAGTTACTCGCATTAAATGATCGATCAAACTTTTTTTCTTCACCATCATGCATTGTTCATGTTGCATGTGATGACGTGGGAGTGACATAGACAACTGGAACAAACTAGCTCATACTTGACAATTGACAAATATAGGTTTTCGTGCATATGTATGTTTCATTTTTTTGTATCTTTAAATCGTCTCTTCTGCTGTCCATTAGCAAATGCTATATATGGTTTTGGTGTTTTTGTCTGTTTGTTTCATTTGGTTTCTTGTATTTATGACGGTTCAAATTAGTGATTCAAATTTACTGGCCATGGTCCCATCCAACCTACCTAAGTTACCCTCAACTCAAGCTAACTATTGCTATAGGGTTATAGTTTGATTGTTCAAACCTATATCGGTAAATAGGTTAGAATAGATTACGAAAATCATATTAATCATCATACATGTGTATTGCACAATTCTCAAATTATTATGTATATATTTATATGTAAGTTGAGTAAAATTTGATTTGATTAAAAAAATTCCGACTTAACTCAATCTAAAAAAAACATATAAAGTTTTAGATATAAAATAATATTCGACTAACTAAAATATCTCATAATAAATTATTAATGGATTAGTTTTTAAGTTCGAGTTAAATCCCTCAACTCTACATATATATATATATATATTGTATATGGTTATAAAAAATCATTTAAATTATAATCAATTATTATTATAATATTATAAATATTTATAGTTAAAATTAAGAAAAAACTCAAATAACTCAACTTGATTTTTTTAAATAATATTTAAATTATAAAATAAGTATCTTCAATTATATTTACTTGAAAATTGTTTATCAATTCGATCTAATATTCACTAGAAAAAATTATATCACATTACGGATCAATCTGTAAATATTTCTCTCAGTTTTAATTTTTCTTAAAAATAAAAATATGGGTCATTATATCTATCCTAAATATTTTATTTTATTATCAAATAAATCACGCTAATCTAAAGAAAATCTGAACTATAATTTCAAACACATATATGGTGCGTCTAATTAATATGAACTCTCATTATTATATCAATATTATATAATATCATAGCGGAGATCAATTTGTCTTATCCTTGATTGCCTATCCCCTAATACCTAAAACCGGTAGCATCCAATAGCGAAAGAGGAACGTTTGGCCAATTATTTTTGAACCGTTTCTGTATATTCTTATTGCATCCACTCATAAAGTCATTTGGGAAATTAGCTAAATAAAGTTAAATCTCAACTTTTTTTTCTCTTTCTCTAAGGCTTTGCATTATTATTTTCCTGCACATGCCACTTGATTAATGCAATATTTTATATTATTATAAATTAAGATTAAATAATTGGGGTTAAATGCAGCCCTTAAAAAGTGACTTCATACACTAATCCCCACGCGTGCATGGACCTAACCTTGTGCATAAGGAATATAAAGTTAAAACAAGTTTTACGTTTAGGTTTTCCTTAAGCGTTGTTTATCTTCTTCTTCTTTTTATCTTTAGTCGGTAAGTGACAACATTAATTTCGATATTCATCTGTCGATATTTTTATTTTATTTTTTGACATTTTAGTTTTTAATAATTTTTTATTTATAGTATTTTTTTTATACTTTTTATCACATTTACGGTGGATTATTTAATCGTTGTTTTCATTTGTTATTTTTCTCATAATTGAATTTTAACATCGTCTCGACTTATCATTATGACTTTTGTTTGCTATCATAATTATCTTTCTGCTTTGGAATCTTAAATCAAATTTAGATACTTGATATGTATTCAATGATAATTTTTTTACATCGTTCAACTTTGATTTGTGATATGTCGATAATCTTTTAATAATTTTATCCATTTTTTAGTTCGTTTGTGGATGCTGTTAAATATATACATATTTATCATTTTGTTCGATTTTTTTATTGGGCTTTTAAATTTCTCTTTGTATGACCAATCAAAAGGCAGTCGGTCACTGCCATTTCCAGAGAGAGACGAGAGAGGCTAGACAAATGGGTTTAAGGTTGCACGTGCTATTTAAGAGTCTAAGGGGAAATTTCTGCTTCAGTTACCCAGTTTTTGTCTTGTTCTATTTTGGTCCTTGTTGCATGAACTTTAATTTTAATTATTGTAATTTGGTCTAGTATTTTAATTCGAATGCAATTTAATCCTTGATTTCATTTTTTTAACCTTTTGTTAATAGTTAAGTTTGATGTGTTATGTCATGTTTTAATTTATGTAGTATTTTTAATCCAAGCATGATTAATTAAATTAGTTCTTAATTAAATCGTTTTATTCTATTAAATTTGTGATTTAATTACATGACATAGTATTTAATTGCAAAGCATGATAGCTTCATTTGGATTACCCTAACTTTCCATAAATGATTAAAAGGCAATGCACATTTAGTTTAAATTATCAAAGAGAATGATCTTAATCCATCTGTGTAGTTTAATTTGATAATTTAAAGTAAATGAACACCTTCTAGTGAAATAAATACAAATCTTGCTAACTTTTAAAATTTTTTAGGAGGGTAGAAAGAGAAACGTTTCCATATTTACATTTATTGAAAATGAACCTTTCGACTCTATTTGAAGGTTTAGGTTCGATACTTATAAATATTCGAACATCCCTTATCTATCTTAAAGGCCGATAATTTTCATTACTAAATTTTTGTTTGTTGTACAACTTTAGTTAAATAAATACCATGAATTAGATATCAAATTAAAGTTTTGAACGAAGAGATTAGTGATTGAACAATTTAATTGGGAATGAAACTCCATTCTTCCTTATATAAGGAGGTTAACTTTTCCCAAATAAATATCATCGTATTTGTTTAACTAAATAGGGGAATATTAATTAAATTAAGTCTGAATCTATAAGTTATATTATAAAGATAATAATTAATCGATTAGGTATCGATTTTTTGACGTTGTGGGGTGCTAATCCTTCCCACCCCACACGTCCCGACCTCATTTTTCTGGAAAAACATGCCAAAAGTTATTTTAATTAAATTTTATTAAAATGACAACATTTTAAGTGATCCAATCACACCCTAAATAAATGTTGGTGACGACTCAAGCGGCCCACATTTTTTTAAATCTAAACGAACCTTAAAATTAATCTCCCGATTTTTCTGGACGTTGTGACATTATCGAATGGTTATAAAAAAAATATCCATGCTTAATTTATAACTATAATTGTAAAAAAATTATTCTTTTTAATAAAGAAATAGCTTTACGTATGTATATAATAATAGTTAGAAGGTGATAAGGAATGAGATGTTGAAAGAGGAACTGCAGGCAAATTAAAAGCAGGAGAGGTGAAGTGGATAGAGAAGCAATGAATCAAGTTTCGTGAAAGAAACTCAAATCCCGTGAATCTCAATTTTTCTACTCGTCTCAACCACCATCCAAACACGGCCTTACCATTACCAAGGCATGAGATATAGGACAACACACCACCACCGACACATCGACCAACCTCTTTCTGCTGTTTTTTTTTTTGTTTTTATTTTTCAATTTCTCTTCATAAATGAATCACCGGTAAATTTGACCCCCGAAACCACCTTCATATGGGTTATATTCCGTAAAATATTTATTCGTCTGTTCTCATGATTTTTATTTTGGTTATCAAATATTTTTATAAAATTATATTTAAGGTTTTATTTTTATTTCAGTAAATTTTGTTTGCATATCTTTGTTATGGTTACTAAATAAATACAATATGTTTTTTTCCTTTCAATTTCACAGGTCTAGTAGTTGAGGAAAATAAATGGGGTTGAGAATGAATGGACCCATTGCCATGAGGATTGATGGTTCCTTGGCATGGCACGGAGCAGCAGAGAAAGTGACAAATATTCAAACAGAACGGTGGGAAGGGAACATACAAACACCAAGATGGATCTGTTGGATTTTGGTGCTCTTGTTGTTAATTTTTGCATATAATTAGGGATTGATAATTTGGGTCATAGATTCAGATATTTATTGTTGATTCGTCTGTTAAATTATTGTAAAATTGAGACATAATGAAGTGAAAGCAGCAGGGCATTGGAATTAGACATATCTTCTGAGATGTGTGCGGTGCTGTGTCCTGCACTGCCTCTGGCACTGGTGTGTGGTGTTGTGTCCTGCACTGCCTCTGGCTCTGGTGTGTGGTCTCAAGGCAAGTTGACATGTCCGAATCCAATGCTAATTCCTCTCCCTTCTTTAACAGTTTTGGTGGTTTATTTTATTTGCGGGTAAATTTGACAAAGAGGGTCGGGCGTTAGGTTTGGTAGGCCCAACTAATGCCAGTTGCCATCGTATTCGTAGCCGATGGCCCCAAGGAGGTCAACTAATGTCTAATGCCATCATCAATGTTTGAATTAAAAGATATCTGAAATGAAAGCATTGATCTCTTTGGTGGACTGCTTTGGCTTACTTTAACAACCAATATATTTATCAAAATGGTTGCTATTTTTACTGCACAAAGTACAATAAAAATCATACAAATTTATTTATTTTATCAAAACATTATAAAACAATCATTAGATTGTACCAAATTATTATAAATTAATCAAAAATTTTAAATTTAATAAAACATCACAATAATTTTATTTTAAAATAAATATTTTATGATTTTTAACTTTTAACAAGCAAAACAGTCATTTAATATCTTACGATATACATTAATAATATTACTCAAAAAGTGATTCCAGTGATAAAGTTGATCATTTTAGATAACTCAAATTCAAATTGTTTTGTCTACACATGTGCTTTTATAATTTCATTACCAAAACACTTGATAATAATCCTTCAACCAATATATACAAAACCATCTTACAACCGAATGGTTATAAGAAAACCCGTACATTTCGTCGCAATAAGCCAATAACCAGATCTAGACATAACCCTGTCTTGCGGACAGGAAAAAACCCAGAGTACAATCAAAGACTATTCACATAGCAAATGCTCAGCCATGCACCATTTGAATTTCTATGAAAGAGAAAACATGACAATATTATTTGATGCCGACGCTACAATCCCAATACCAGTTTTCCTAAGCATCTGGAAAACCACAACACCTGTCCTAGTCCATGACCAGTTGTAATTTCCCATCAAATGTAAGCATAGATCTTTAAACAACTAAAATACCAGACAATATATATGTTTATGCGTGTCTTTCTCTTCTCCTGATCGCCTAGAATCAATGGAGTTGCTTACTTTGATCTTGCAGTTATGATCCCTTCAATGGATCCCACCAGTGCAAACAACGTTACGGGAAGGCACACGATGCTGAAAGTCTGAAGCATCACCCACTTAGTCGACCAGGCTTCCACGTTCCTCTGCTTGAAGTACATCTGCACTGGAAAGTATATTGACAGAGGCCAAAAGTAAATGCCTCCCAGCACTCCCAAAACTTGGTTGAAATACGGGAACAACATGGCGATTATCGTTGTCGAAGCTACGAACATGGTGCGGAAACACATCCCGGAGAATGCTTAATCGAAAAGCTTTCACAAGTGGGAGTTTAATTTTGAAATCCTTGTGTATGTATCCATTGTCGGGGAATTTCTGAGACACCCATTTTTCAACGTTTGCAAATAGTGGTTGACTGTAAACCTGGTGAAATAAGAGCATGGACACAACACTTTTGTTATTCGGTCGGATTTGGGTGTGTGTGTATGCATTTGAAGGATTTTAAGGCCATATTTCTATATATATGTACCCAAGAATGATAATGTGTAGCTGAACCAGAAAAATTTAGTACCTGATATCCTCCAACTAGGTGGATAACAATGCAAGCATTGGCAAAGTCGATGAGCCAGTACGGTTCATAAAATCCGAAACCAGTCAAGAGGTTCCCTGGTGTATTATCGCCGAAGGCTGCATATCCAAACGCTCCACAACAGATATAGAAGAAGGTTGTTGCTGAAATTGATATGATTGAGGCTGCCTTCATGGTGTCCATCTCCGAGGGAGGCGACAAAGTATCCTTCAAGTTCCGAAAATTGTAATCATCATCAGTTCAGCATATAACAAATCAATCATCAGTTTCGAAATCGATATGAACTCGGTTTTAATGGTGGAGACCTGTATCTCAATAAGAATTAGGGAGTATGGATAGGCGAATGCTATATCTCCAAGTGCTTGAGAAACCAGCCAGACTTTTTCACCAGTAGTAGATGTTGAGATTCCTCGGATGGAACCCATAGGAAAACCATTTGCTGCAATTTTAACAAGAGCAACATCAGTAAGATCTTTGTCAAGTTCTTTCAAATATTCTACAAATGAGAAAATCTGTATGTAAAAATATCTAAGGTTCATCATTTTACCTATGACTTTGGCGATGCCAAGTGCAAGACCAATGACAGAATAAGCAAAGGACATGATTGCAGCAACCACTGATAGCCATTGTATGTTGTGGAAATTATTTATCTGAGACAGTATCAACTGAATAGCCCCGAAAGCTAGCATGTATTGAGTATCTCCGAAATAGCAATCAGCATCATGCCCTTCTTTGTGGTAACAGTTCGATTTTTGAATTGCTCTGCATTCACAAGTGGAACAGGCATTGACTACCCAAAGCACACCTCTCAAAAGAGGAGAAAAAATAGCAACAACCTGTGTCACTCGGAACCGGGTGTGAGTGTCCTTGGAGGGTCCTTTCATGTATGTTCATTCTTTTCAAGTTTTTTCATGTATGTGGAAACTCCTTCGAGAGTCATATCTCATACCCTTGTTTATATATGCATCGGTACAAGTGTTGGACATAGGTACTTCAAGAAAATGAAGAGTCGAAGTAACATAAAAGCAGCGCCTTTTCAATGAACTAGTCATACACGAATTAGGACTCGAGCAGTGGAGTAAAAGGACTTGATAACACCTCAGGCTAATAGCAGATGTAATCGTATATGCTATTCCCATACCATACAAGCCAATTTGAACAAAAAGGCCGCAAATCCTTGCATTCGTTTGCCCTGAAAATCCACGTTAAGCAACTAGAATTTATTACCAACAAACATAAATATTGTAGTAATTACCAGCTAGCAAACAAACAGTGAAGTATGGTCTTAGAAGCTGTAGGCATTTGCTTTCAATATAAGGTTGGTCTCCTTTAAATTAGTGGCATGGTTCCGGCGCATGATTTTGACTGAAAATTACTTGGATTTTCAAGTTCTTTTCCCTATGAATAAAACCTGATTAGATTTGATTTTACAGTTTAAGCAGTTCAGAAATTCTTGGAGATTAACGAATCCCTGATGCACACATCACATAGCCAAGGCAAGGTAAAGTATGGTTTTTCTAATTACCAGCAGAAGATGGTCCAGACAAGTGGAAACTCGGGAAAAGGATTACGTAAAAGAAAGGAACTTTGTGATCAAAGTGGTGGACACCTAAGCACTATATGATCAATCCGGATCTTCGTTAGGGCCCACAACACATCATCTTCTTCACCATACCATTCAGCAGCAGACAACATTTAAGATATAACCAAGGAATTTAACTTGACGTGTTAAACAAAAAGTTTCTTTCAAAAATAATAACTGGGTTTTTCATTTTTAAAAACGTTAGTATTTAGATAAACTATATAAAATATATTCACATCTAAAATATCAATCTGGATTTATATTTGACACTTAAATTCAAATTTATCTAATTATGATGAAAATAGTGATGAAAAGAAAATTCTTGCAGAATTGTAGAATTAAGAAGATAAAAACTATCTAATCTTTTTTCTATGCAGGGTTCAGCGATTTAATCTACCATTTCCCATATACCAATCTTCTAAAAGTATTGCAAATCATTAAGAAGAGATTTTGATTCTTTAAAAAAAAATCTGGAGTATACGTACTTATGATAAACTGTTTAATAATCTCACCTAAATTGATATTAACGGCGTCTATATATGACTGATTTCTGACGGGTCCAACTTCAGGATCGGGAGTTTTATAACAGTTGCAGAGAAGGTAAGTAGAAATCAAAGTGACCGATGCGAAGAGCAGCATAGCCAAAGGTCCGGCGATCCATCCCAGTTGAGCCATGCTCCACGCCAGCGATAGCACACCGGCGCCTATGACGCCAGTTATTATATGCGACACCGCCGTCCATACGTTCCCTTCATCGATTTATTGGATTCATTTCATGTTAAAACAATGATCCAGAATGAAATCGTGAGAAAGAAATTAATATTGAAACCAAGTGAAACATATTACTTACCCGTTCTACGTGGAGGCTTACGAGGTCGTGGCTGATTCGTATTGGCCAACAACGGGGCTTGATGATCTGAATGTGCTGCTTCCATGGCGTTTTTAATCAAAAGTGAAACACTCTTTTTATTCTAGCTCCCTTACTTCCTGGAGGAAAAAAAACGAGAATCGGTTTATATTTATAGATGAAGATTACGTACAAAGAAGCAACTTTGAATTTGGAATTCCCTCGAAGAAAAATATGCGATGGGTAGTACTTTCGTGTTGCATGATTAAACCTATGTAAACTACCGGAAACTTACTGAACTTTCTTGAAGTTCTAATTAAAAATAGGGATCTCAAAAGCATGCTTAGTACGATTACATGTAATGTCACTATCTTCCTTAAAATTGTACTAAAACCGTAATTATATTGTAATGAGATATGATGTGGTGGTTATTGATCATTTCTTATAATTATATAGTCGAGATTTAATTCTTATTTAGAAAAATAGAATATATTTTATAATCAGTTATTTATCCAAAAATATCTACAACCAAACATATATATGATGCCATTTTTTATGCTCAACATAATATAAATTATTAAATAGCATGGGAAATTCTATTTGTTGTTGTTTACGTGTTTGATTTTTATTAGTTTGGTGTATAATAATCGCAGTAAGAAATTGTCATGATTTCAACATGGCAACAACTAGATAACCGCGCACCTTTAAGGTCACATTCCCCTTGAAGAAAAAACAAAATCAGCACGACATAATGTTGGGGGCTGGGTTTGTGCAGGTGTAAGGCTAAGAATCCAAGCTCTAACCCAACGTTCCAACTCACTCACTTCCATGGCTTATCGAATAATTCTAACTCAATAACTCTACCACCCTTTGGTTGCATATTCTTTTGCTACAACAACTTTATTTAATGAAAATAATTAACCTGGTCTTCGATTATGCTAAGGACTCAAGTATCCACCTCAAAGTTGTTCTTCATTCAAGGATTTTGCTTGTCATGCGGAACCGATCAACAACTCGACCGCGTATTACACTTCGCCGATGTTCAACCACATTAATTTTTATGGGAAATACCCTCCGGATCTTTCTTTCATGAGTGTCACGAAGGGACCGGACTTGCTTCCCCCGCATTACCGCCATCGGCATCAGAGAACGCTAGTGGCAGGCAGTCAACAGCTGATATGAAACACTTGCTTATCGAACTCTGATGATACGATGCTATACCATCACAGGTTGGAACATTCAGGAGTAAATTGATCTATATATTGACCATTACACTTCCATCCAGTGTTTATCTGAACATAACAGACTGTAGCTTCCAACAACTTCTAACTTATCACGACAATATGAACAAATTCATTCGCATATGCAACTGAAGATCTTTACACTATCTTTGAAACATTTCAAATCAAGAATGATTTGCCATATCGTAATATGAGGTCGAGAAATAAGGTGGCAGTGCATAAATTTGCGGAAAAACCCTTACCGACCATTTCTATAAGAACTTCTGTTGCCTTGGAAGTATTGCTGTTTTGAACAAGCCCTTCGATCATTACATTATAACAGAAGCTATCAGGCTCCCACTTTGCAGAATCCATTAATGATTACAGTATATGTGTAAACATTGGGTTTTAAACCATTGACGGAGAGTTCACCAAACACTTCCTTTGCAACTTCGATACGGCCAGCTTTGCACAAGACATCAATTAGGATAGTATATGAGATAATATTGAGTTTCAACCCACTGTACTGCATTGCTCGGAGAACTTTTAATGCCTCTTCAATTTTACCACCTCTGCGGTAACCATCCAGCAGAATGGAACAAGTTACCAGATTTGGAACTTGTCCAAGAGCCAACATCTTTCTCCAAAGTTCACCTGCAGCTGAAATCCTCCCTAATTGAAACATACCTTGCATGAGAGTGGTGTATGTGACAACATTAGGTTCAATGCCTTGCTTTCTCATTGTGTAGACAATATCTTCAGCTTTAAAAACCATCCTTTTCTTACAATGTGTTGTACGTGACAACTGTAACACCCTAGATTCGATTGGGCCTAAAATGCTACATTGGGCTACCGAGGAAACCCCTGATTTTCCAAAATCTGTACATTTTTGTTTTCAACTATACATGTTAAATGGTATCATAATTAAAACATAAATAATGTTATAAAAATCATTTTACAAAACCGGAGCTCTGTGACACAATTTAAAATCAACAATACAAACTCTGAGTTTAATAATCTGAAATACATAAGTAAGATTTTTTAATACATATGCCCACTAAGTTACAGTACAGTAATTTGAAGAAGATGCTGGAAGTCCTGCTGCGACGGTGCTCCACGAACTACTCATGCTACTAACCTGCCAACAGAAAACATTTCGAAGGCTGAGCTTACAAAGGCCATCAGTATAATCGCTAATCTAGAGAAGCATAAGAATTTCATAAACCCAAGCTTGTTGAATACATGGCTCTAAGCAGTAGTACATGCATGATCTAGATCAAATGATATATACTTAAAGCTTAGTTGTTCTATCTATGAGGTAGGGGTATATAACCCTAATGTTTGAACCTGTTACGTATTATCTAAATGCGATATTGACTCTACTGTGAATTATCTACATGCCATGCTAACTCTGTTGTACATTATCTGAATGCAATATTGACTTTGTTGCGACTCATATACTAGCTGAGGTAGGCATCATGGTGCAGTTGAGGGACTGCATCTCGGAGCTCACACACTTCTCTATCCTACCAGATACTAATATATGATACACAACAACATACAATAAGTCGTGGAAGACATCATGGTACGGCTGAGGGGATGAATCTTGGAGCTCACATACCCCTCTAGCCTGCCAGTATACCCTCGGATACACTAGGGTGAGATCTGAAATTTGCATTGAAAACATACACATACTAACTTACTCCGTTGAGTCTTGGGGCATATGGCGCCCATCTAGAAAAAGAAGTGTGGTAGCACTGACTGAGATATCCACTGATTGACAAACAAGACAGTCGCCCTACTGCTAAAGTAACTCAGGTGTCATGGATGTTTCTAGAGTGTCACAAAAAGGCTAGTTTTATTTTATCCTAACTGTTATTGTTTCGATTGTTACTGAGTTATTACTAATTATCTATATTGATGTGGTTATATGCTAATAGAGGATATTTTAATCGTTATCTGACTTTAGGGAAGTCTTCACGTGATTCGATACTTCATGGCGACTACTGTATTTACTACTTACTGGCTAAGGTTCTGATTAACCCAGTAACTAACTTAGGTTAAACTCTAGGTAGCGATGCTCTAATCATTAATCATATGTTCTTAAAGGAATAAATGTATGTCCAATTCCCTCGGTCGTTCTTGCAATATACGATACTGCTGTCTCAAGATCTGATTACATGGTCGTATCTCTCGTTGGTACACCCTGTGCACTGATCATCCATCCTTATCTATCTGTTACGCTCTTACTTAAGGTACTTGTACGTGTTACACATGCTATGGTTACTCTGGTTGTAACCCACTCTTACAAGTGTCTCTGAGCCCCTTTCGCCATTTAAATCCTTTATAGACTAAGCTTTATTCTTACGAACCATCCCAAGCCTTTGCGGAACTTAATCAGGTCGAATATGATCATCTGAGGTGGGTAGTATCGATACTCTAGCTGTAGTATCGATGCCCCTATGAGTAATGATACCAAAAATGCATTATGTTATAAATTTGGGGCCTCAATATTGATACTACTATCCCTAACTTTAGCCCCAGTTTAACTAGTATAAATATTCACTATAGGCTCTAAAATCGTCTAAAATCACCCTAAACATCTTGGATTGGTTTCTAAATTTGTTCTGAAGCTTTAGTTATTTATTTAGGGTCTTAAGGTGTCTTAAAAACATATTTTTAACACCTAAAACGTGATTCAATTGAGAAATTTAAGATGAACCCAAATGCTCAATCCAACAAAACATAGCAAATACTTGTAATTTATGAAATCTAATTACTCCAAAAGATTAGAAATACACTACCTTATTTATTGAAACCCCGAAATAGAGCTCTTTTAACTCATTCTCCACTTTGACTTGGATGATAAAACCCCCAACTTTCTTTTGCAAACAAAGAACCTATGGCTTGAATGGTTAAATCCATGTTTCTTGAGGGGTTAAAAACGAAATTTAAACTTGAAGAGCAAGAAAATAGTTCAAAGGACACATCTTTGGCTTGAAGGTCTTGAGGAAGAAGAAGGAAGAAATGGAAAATGGGAGGAGGAAGAAAATGAAATAGGAGATATTTATAAAAGCTCTCATCTTTAAAATGGGATAATTACACTACTGGTCCCTCCTTATTTTCCCACTACAAAAATCTCCTCTTAATGGCTAATTGGGCCCAAGATCAACCCAATTAAGCCCAACGAGTTGAATTGTAATTTATGTAGGGTCTATTTACCTCTTGGGTTAACCCTAAACTACTAGCTTGGAATTTGATGCATTATAACTCCCCCACCTTAAAAGAAATTTCATCCTTGAAATTTACTTAAACTGAAAGCAACTTACTTCTTGTTCATTTACTGAGAAAATCTCAATGCACATAAACCTTATAGAAACTGATTCTCAAGGAAGGAGTCCTCCCAACCTGACTTGCTGTTTAGAACTCGCAAAATCGAACTACTATTTTATAAGGATGCTACCAATGCTGAACTTTAAGTGAAAACCTTCGAGAATCATGAAACTAAGAAAATCACGTTGTGGCTATCTGATAGACTGATACTACACTCTCGGAGCGTTTTTTCATAAGGACAACGTTACTCCAAAATCACTACTATCGTTAAATCTTTCTCTAGCTAATTTTACTCAATCAAGTTAATTCACTACATAGCCCGATAACCCTTTTTTAACTGCTTAACATAGGTAATTCATCGTGATAAACCTTAAGATCTCATAGCACTTACCAACATTGTCTCAATACTGATTACTAAATATATGTTGATAATTCTTGACCAACGTCGATCTCTAAACTTTTAATGCTAACTCTGATTTAATAATAAACTATGCTATCTGACTGCTTCTCGTTTAACTTGTGATCTACATGCGCTCTAATCACCTAATCGAGCATCCAAATCGCTAACAACTGGAAATCAACCACTTATTGAGCGAAACTAACAACATATGGCTCTTCTGGAGAGCACGCTTCATAAGGCGAAGATCTGCCGCAACCGCACTATTATTAAAGACTCCGAGATTCTGCGTCTGACACTCACTATTTCTTACCACTACTGAGTTATCTGATAACGACTAATGCTAGTTAAACATAACTTAACTTACTCGATATCCTTTAGTCCGAAGCACTGAAATTCTCGGTATTATACAATGTTGACTACTGTTGTCTGTTATATATAGCTCGTGCTCATATACCAAAATGAAGGCACCACTGACGAAGCTCAGCTCACTTAGTTGATTAACTTATTGTTCATGAAATGAGACGTCCTGGTGATATCAGGGGTTCACTATACCTCGAGACTCACAACTCCTCATAACACCTATAGTATCTTTAGAATATGGGTTGAAATTCCGAAACTGCTGCATCGAAATATAAACCGAGCTAACTTACTCCTCACGAGTACTTGGGGCATATGTGCCTAGTTAGCAATTGAAGTGCATTGTCACTTGCTGGGACATATTCTGAGATTTTTTGGCAATAGGGTGATTACTATAGTGATAAGAGTAACATGAGTACTCTTAACACTCTCTTAGAGATCTCTACCTCTAAGACTGAACCTGCGATTACTGATTCTTTACAGGTTGATCGTACAAACCCTCTACTAAGATGCAAAGACACTCTTTATAGTCTCGTACATGACAGGACTATAAGCAAAGATACTCTCTTGGGAACACGCAAAGGTGAAAGATTATGCGGGTAAACATTTTTCTTAGAGTTAATCTACAACTCAACAAAGGGCAACTACTTATTCTCCTGACTCTAAATCCTGAAGTTATGGGGTTAAACAACACTTGTGCTAACAACTCTTTTTAGGATGACTATCGAGTTTAATCTAAGCCCTCAATGACTTTCTAGGATAACATTGTCTAATCCACAAAGGTTTACCTACAAACCACTTAGATCCATACTTTTGGACTCCTTAACTGACATCTAATATGATACATTAACGTATTGACCCTGTCTCTCCATAATCTACCAAGTCGAATCAAGAACTGGTCGATCCGCTTCACTACTTTCCTGTCTGGCATAGAACTGACACCTCCTTGTAAAGATTCTCAAATATTCTGAACTACTGGGATTACTTCCCTCAATCAAGCTGACACACTACTACTGGAACTAGGGTAACCTTCACCATAAGCGATAAGGATCCACATCCATAACACTTCCTTAAAAATTTAAGGCAAATTCGTCTCTGAATTTTACCTCAGTGCTTGCACTCGAGATACTTTAAAATCTACAGGAGCTTCTAAAGATCGCCATTTATGGCGGGGTTGATGGTCTCTTATGAGATCCTACAACTCACATCTAACTTGGTTGGAATGGCTAAATTGACGCCATTCTTTACTACTTACGCAGACCCCTGGTTCTCCTGCCACTAACTGGGATAGATTTGTGAATTCATAAATCCCTAAACTCAGGGTGCCTGACTCACACATAAACTCATCCTCATGCCATGCTCTGAACACTCTAAGCGAGTCTGTCGCTAACTGCAAACTGATATCCAAATGAATCCCCTTAAGGGACCCTTTGCACTTCAAGGACTTGGTCACAATCAGCTCTGGAGCATAATGAATCATCCCAAATAAGATTTTTTTTTCTCCTATTCGAACACTGGGCGAACTCCATGAACTAGCTGTTAGAATATAATTCTCAAATCAACCATATGTGTCTCACTAATATACTTGTTTTGAACTCGCCTGGGAACTGATTCCACGTGGCAACCTTGGTTGTAGGGTTATCCCTACAGTCTCCAAAATAGTCGATAGCATCACCTTTGAGCATAATGGTGATGCACTCCAACTTACCTTCCGGGGTAAGACGAAGCTGTCTAAAAGTCCAATGGTTTCTCACAACCACTGATCAATCAAAATTGGATCATCACCGCTTGAACCAAAGAATTCAACTGTCTAATTACCTTCTTAGCCTCTCTACTAGGGATTCTGTTGGCACTAAGTAACCTGGTTGGTTAACTGAACTCTCTGCACTCTAGGAATAATGTCCACTGCCTCTCTGAGAGTGGAAGCTAAACCTCTAAAAAATGTCACCTTTGAAACTCCCGTTCCAAAAATGCATTCTGTTACAATTTTGAGGCCTCATTATCGATATTGCTACCCTGAGTATAGATACTCCCTATCTAAAATCCTTAATTTTAACCCTAATTTAACCATTATCGATACTGTTCATCCCATTATCGATACTCAAACTCTAAAATGAGTATTTTAGGTTCAGAAATCACCTAAAAATCACCCTAAACATCTTGGATTAGTTTTTAAACTTGTTTTGAAGCTTTAGTGATTTATTTAGGGTCTTAAGGTATCTTAAAAACATATTTTTAACACCTAAAACATGATTTAACTGAGAAATCTAAGATGAACCCTAAAATGATCAATCTATAAAAACATACCAAATACTTGTAATTTATGAAATCTAATTACTCTAGAGGATTAAAAATACATTACCTTGCTGATTGAAACCCGAAATAGAGCTCATTTAGCTAAAAATCGTCCTCCACTTTGGCTTGGATGATAAACCCTTAACTTTCTCATGCAAACAAAGAACTCGTGGCTTGAATGGTTAAATCCATGTTGCTTGAGGGGTTAAGAACAAAATTTAAACTTGAAGAGCTAGAAAATAGTTCGAATGACTCACCTTTGGCTTGAGGGGATTGAGGAGGAAGAAGGAAGAAAATGAAATGGGAGATATTTATAAACGCTTTCATTTTTAAAATATGAGAATTGCACTGTTGGTCCCTATTCATTTTCCTACTACACAAAATTTCATCTTAGTGGTTAATTAGGCCCAAGACCAACCCAATTAAGCCCAACGATTTGAATTATAAATTCTACGAGGTCCACTTATCTCTCGGATAAACCTGAAACTACTAGCCTGAAATTTAGGACATTACAACAACATCAGACTCAATGCCTTATTTTCTCATTGTGCCAACAATCATTTCTTTCAATGTGCATAAACTACTATATGTGACAACATGAGGCTTAATGTCTTGCTTTCTCATTTTATCAACAATATCTTTAGCTTAAAAAACCATTCCCTTCTTGCAATACGTATCAATCAATATAGTATACGTGACAACATCAGGCTTAAGGCCTTGCTTTCTAATTGTGTGAACAATATCCATAGCTTAAAAAATAAGCTCTTTCTTGCAATACGCATAAACCAATATGCTATATTAGGAGAAATATTATTATTCATCATTTCATTCAAAAGCTTTGTTGCCTCTTTCTATTGTCCCAAATTACACATTGCATGAATTAAGACTGTAGGTAATTATGTTTGGTCTACTGCCCTTAACCTTCAGTTCAGAGAAGAGATCGAGAGCTTCGTTTAACAACCCACACTTACAAAGACAATCAATGACAATGTTATATGCTACAATATCGGGTTTGAAACCTTTTGTTTCCATCATCCTTAGAAATCTAATAGATTTATCGGTATCACCAATCTTACACAACTCGTTAAGTATAGTATTTTAAGTAATTAAATGAGGTTGATATCCTTTTTCAATCATTCCATCAAACAAACTCGTAGCCTGAGATATATTTCTTTGTTTACAAAGCCCATTAATCAAAATGGACAAAGTTATAACATTAACAATTGATGGAGGAAGTGATAAATAAATAAGCATACCCACATTTTAAAATTAAGAAAAATGGAAAGGCAAGGGGGTGAGCTTTGAAATGAAACCTCAAATGGAGTGCGACAAGACGACAACAACGTTTGTTCTCTTCGACATCAAGAAAGCATATGTAAATGGCTTCTTAAATTTTGACAGAAAGATTTAAGGGTAAACCAAATATTTAGTCATACAACTATTCTCGCAATTTTGTTATGGTCATCAATTTTTTTTCAAGAACATACTTTGAGTTATGTTTTTCTAATATGACATTAATTTAATGTAATATTTGTTTAAATGCTTTCAATCATTTGATAATAAATGTCTATATTTCTACATATGTGATGTTCGAATTCGGGACCTCAAGAGATAAAAATGAATTTCTTTACCACTGAAGTTGTTTAGTTCGTGCTAGAGTTACATTTTATTCCTTTTTAAAGACTAACCATTAAAAAGTAAACAAAACTAATAATATGAATATTTTTTAAAGGTAAACTACATAAATGTTCACCAAACTTTTAGAGCGCTTGTATTTTGGTCACTCTACTTTTAAAACTTGCATCTTGGCATGAAAATGAGTATTTAATGTTATTCATGCACAAAGTAACGACTTTTTATGACCCTTTAACTCTATATAAGCTTTAAACACATTTTAGGGGTCTTGGGAGGACCTTAGGAGTGATTTGGAAGGTTTCTTACAAGAGAAACAAAATTTACTGGGTTGAAGGTATCAGTACTGTATGAAAAATATCGATATTGTTGGTAAAAAAGGCTAAAATTAGAGGATTTTACGAGGGAGTATCGACATGTTCTTGTGGTATTGATATTATTCATGGAGTATCGATACTCGGGGTTTAGTATCAATACTAGTAGATCATTTCAGATTCCAATAGACTATTTTGGTACCATTACCTAGGCAAGTACCGATACTATAGAGGTTGGTATCGATAGTCTAGGTAAAAGTATCGATACTTGTATAATTTTACAAACATAAAATGAAATTTTGATATCGATACTCAAGGCAATATTGATACCATTGGGGGAGTATCGATAGCCTAGGAGGGGTATCGATACTCAAGGCAATATCGATACAATTGGGGATACTGATAGCCTAGGTGAGGATATCGATACTGAGGGCTACTTTAAATTTCAGTGGGTTATTTTGGTATCGATACTCAGGAAAGTGTCGATCCCTAAGGGGAAGAAGTATACATACCATGAGGTTGAGTATCAGTGCCATCGTGAAATTTAAGGCTATAAGCTTTTTTTGTTCTAGGAAGCTGAGAAATGATTACGATCGAGGGGAACTTTACTATAAGCTTGCAAGTGAGAACATTAAAAATTGTGTGATAATATAAGATCATTATGAGGTAAGATTCCATAAGACTTATGCCTTGTTTGATGCCCAAAAAATAATGAGGGCACCCGAGTTGCTTGTGTACGACGATAGTCTAGATGAATAAGAGATTATCCAAATATATCCAAACTAGTGTTCAGGCGCTTAAACTGCTAGTTGAACATTGTGCTGATGCTAGGTGACCCAAACACGTTCCGAGTACTCGAGATGAATATAATAGTTTGGGAATGTGTCGATGCTATGTAACCTGGACCTAGCCTATGGTATTATGAGATGCTAATGATATTTGACCCATATCTCACCTAAGGTGCCTCTAGTAAGCAAAAAAGGGCGCGAGTTCTATGATGTTACAGTGACCCCAAATTACACCATGATACTTGTTTGTGTTGTGTGTTGAATATACTCTTGTATTCATGAATATACATGTAGCATGCTCATTTATTGGATGCATGTATTATAACAGTGTTATTTGTGTGGCATTGAGCTTGTGAAATCAACATTCATAATGTATTTTCGTGCACAGGTTCTTAGGTACCAGTTCAAGGAGCTCATCACCAGGTTGTAGGATTTCCAGACTTTACTATTTATTAGAATACATCTCAAGTATTGTGGTGGGCATGTACTGCCATATGTTCTTGTGTATTTTCGAGTCATAAACTCTATTAAGAACTTACGTATTTTGGAGACTTACTATTGGTAGCTCCCCATATTTTGTAAACTCATTATATTGGATTTATAATTTCTTTTTCAAATGTTTAAACTATAGATGTGTTGAATATTTTCAAAAAACAAATGATTAGACAATTTGGTGGTTTTGTGTAATATTCTAATCCTCCGAACTTCGATTCAGACCGGATCAGGGTGTTACATGACAAGTTATTCTTTTAATAGCAAATGACCAAAATAAAATCAAAATTAAGTATGATTTAAAAATATATAATTTGGTGAGTAAATCAAAACTGAAAGAATAGTTGGCTAACTATATATTTAGCTTACCCAAGATTTGAATAAGCAGGGGTAAAATACATAAATAGTCTCTCTTGATTATACGACTTTTTTTTCATCATTTTTAATTATAAAAAATATAAAATAATTAATTGATTGTTAACATGACAATCAACGTTACCCTAACTTATTAATCTCCTGTCTTTTCTAGCTTACTTCTGCCGCATTCTCCAGAGAAACAAAACAATGGGAAGAAGAATGGGTGGCGGCCGCTCACCTGCCGCTTCCTCCTCAGTTCTTAACCACAGGATACTCAGCCACCGACTCCAATCTTGTCAACTGTCATACTCCACCGTCGATGAAATCGTCGACCACCTTCGAACTAACTACCCCGATTACAAACGCATCAAGCAACAACCTTTCACCAGGGCCGTCCAACAAGCCCTCCAATCCTCTTCCAAACACACCCAAAAGACGCCTTCTTCACATTCTGTTTTCAAATTCGATGATGACAGTGATGGACATGAGCATGCCATTGCAGCTTCTTCTTCCTCGCCTTCTCTTTCGCGTTCGCGGAAGAAGCTTAAGAGAACCGATGTGACTGAGCAAAGGTTGCAACGTTTAGAAGAGTCGCACATTGAAAGGAGACGGATTCAGCGCGATGACTCATGCTCGAGCTCGGAAACGGACTCATCATCTTCATCGGAAGAAGTAGATGATGAAGTTCCGACTTCGGAAGATGTTATTTATGGAGAAAAAGAGGAACCCAAGTATGATTTAACGAAATCAATGCTACGGCACAGTTACAATCAATCCAACAACACAAAATCGAAGTTTGAAGAAAAAAATATCGAAATGGAGGTTGCAGCTAATAAAAATAAGGATAAAATTGATATGATCAATCAAGCTGGAGCTGGAAAAAAATATGCAAAGGCTTCGGTTAAGGCCGCTACTGCTGCTGATGCTGTGGAGGTTAATGGGAAAGAGGGGCCGAGGTTTAGGGATTTAGGTGGGATGGGAGCTGTGCTGGAGGAGTTGATGATGGAAGTCATAGTACCTCTTTATCATCCACGTTTGCCACGATGGCTGGGAGTTAGGCCAATGGCTGGAATTTTGCTCCATGGCCCACCTGGTTGCGGCAAGACCAAATTGGCCCACGCCATTGCCAATGAAACTAGTGTTCCGTTCTATAAAATTTCAGCTACCGAGGTGGTTTCGGGTGTCTCGGGTATTCATCTTCTGTTTTCTTTATCTGACTCTTCCTACTGAATATGATTTTTAGGTTTCATGAGTTCACAGCGTTATCATGGAGTTGTATAGAGTGTGATAAATGAAAATTTCCTTAACCGTGATCCGAGATGTTTGCTGATAGTTATGTTTCATATTTAATGTATTAGGTGCATCAGAGGAAAATATTAGGGAACTCTTCTCAAAAGCATATAGGACTGCTCCTTCAATTGTTTTCATCGATGAGATTGATGCCATTGCATCTAAAAGAGAAAATATGCAGAGGGAGATGGAGCGGAGAATCGTCACACAGTTGATGACTTGTATGGATGAATCTCACAGACTTTTGCAACCAAATGATAAGGATTCTAGTTCAGAGAACTCTGATTCCAAGCCTGGCTATGTGCTTGTGATTGGAGCTACCAATAGACCTGATGCTGTTGACCCTGCACTACGGAGGCCTGGACGATTTGATCGGGAGATTGTTCTTGGTGTTCCGGATGAAAATGCCAGGTGTGAGATTCTTTCTGTGATTACACGAAATCTTAGGCTTGAAGGGTCTTTTGATCTTTTGAAAATAGCAAGGGCTACACCAGGTTTTGTTGGAGCGGATTTGGCTGCCTTAGCTAACAAGGCTGGTAATCTTGCCATGAAGAGGATCATAGACCAGAGAAAGCATGTGATTTCTAAAGAATCTATTGATGAGGAGCAAGCTGATCAGTGGTGGAGGCAGCCTTGGTTGCCCGAGGAGATGGAAAAACTAACAATCACTATGGCTGATTTTGAGGTAATTCAGGGTGTAACTTTTATTTGTTTTCATTTATTTATATGACAAAAAGCAAGCTGTTGTGTATGCATAGTTTAGTGGCTTTTCGTTCTATATGCTATATTATAAAAGTTATTGGGAAATGGAATTGTATTGTCATTTCTAAATGCGTTTTCCCTATTTGTAAGTATAAAAGTTAAGTGGTTGTCAATGCTGATGCAAGAGCTTTTACTTTTATGTTGTTTTAGTATTTTAGTCTTATTAATTAATTTGAGATGTAGATAGACAGCTAGGATTATAAGATTTAGGGTTAAATCTAGGTTTAGGATTATTATTCATCTTTGGGGTTTAAATCTAGGGCTAGGATTAAAACTTTACTTGCCAGGAAGCAAGCCTATAAATAGTTTGTAGGATTTATGGCCAAAGTAATTGTCATTATTTATTTTCTTTGAATTAATAGAAAACTAGAGGTTTTTATAACCCTAAGTTGTTCTTGAGTTCCATCTTTCCCATTTGTATTTCAGTCATAATTTTACTGTTTTATTGCTGATTTTCTTAGCCACATCAAATGCCCTAAATATAGTATAGTTGCCACTTGCCATTGTTAAGAGTTCTAATGAACTTCCATTGATGCTTTTAGTAGTTTGAAGCAAAGCTGGTATATTTATGTCTGTTATGCATTAGTAATATTTTTATGCTAGAAATTTTTATATGAACTTTAGTTATGCCCATATATTTGCTTAAATACGTTTTACCTGCAGGAAGCAGCTAAAATGGTTCAGCCCTCATCACGGAGAGAGGGATTCTCTACAATTCCAAATGTTAAGTGGGAGGATGTTGGTGGTCTTGACTTCCTAAGGCAGGAATTCGACCGTTACATAGTTAGACGCATAAAATTTCCCGAGGAATATGCGGTAATTATATATTGTTTCTACCTCTTTCCTGTATCCAGAAAAAAAGGAAAGAAAACCCTTGAACATAGAATTATATTATTGTAGGGCCATCTTAATGTGATAAATGGAAGAAAGTCATCCATGAGAAATTGGTTAGAATTAGTTGAACGTGTCTTCCATGACCTCCAACGTAGTTGATTGAAAGCTCAGAGCAACTATAACCGAAGCAGTATTTACTTTGTTAGTCAGCTTGCTATTATAGTATTGATTTTCAAATCTTTGTGTTATTCACAATGTCAGGAATTCGGAGTGGACTTGGAGACAGGATTTTTGCTTTATGGACCACCAGGCTGTGGTAAAACGTTGATTGCAAAGGCTGTAGCTAATGAGGCTGGAGCCAATTTCATTCACATCAAGGTCAGCTTACAGCATGTATTTCAACTGCTTTTCTGTCTGTTATGATGTTAACTGGGTCTATAGTACATTAAGTTAATTTCTCTGTGTTTGTGCTTTCATTGATCACGAGTTCCTTTTCTGATTAGGGCCCTGAACTTTTGAATAAATATGTTGGAGAAAGTGAGCTGGCAGTTCGGACATTGTTTAGCCGTGCTAGGACATGTTCTCCGTGCATACTTTTCTTTGATGAGGTCTGCCGTTTTGATTTCTAAACAAAAGAAAATTTTCTGGAGAAAACATTCCTGCTGTGAGGTTTTAATTTTTTAGGTCTTTCTGATCTTATCTAGGTGGATGCTTTGACCACAAAGCGAGGGAAAGAGGGTGGATGGGTTGTTGAACGACTTCTGAACCAGGTTAGTTAATATGTTATGGCTGTCTCCAAGCGAATTGATTACCACTTCCTATCTTTCCATATAAAAAATTACAAATTGCAAACAGTGACATGGAAGCATCTGTCATATTTTCAGTTGCTCATTGAGTTAGATGGATCGGATCAGCGGCGCGGTGTTTATGTTATAGGTGCCACTAATAGGTAGAATATGTAGTTTCGGTTTTTCTGATGAAGACCATCAATTATCATTTATTTACACTGTTTGGTTTTGGCAGACCTGAAGTGATGGATCGTGCTGTTTTACGGCCTGGTAGATTTGGTAAATTTCTTTATGTACCTCTTCCCAGTCCTGACGAACGTGGGTTGATCTTGAAAGCTCTTGCTAGGCAGAAACCCATAGACGCCGATGTGGATTTGAGTGCAATTGGACGAACGGAGGCTTGTGATAATTTAAGTGGGGCTGATCTTTCTGCACTGGTATGCCTGTTTTTTTCTCTACATTGAAATTCTAGGAACTATAAAGTATGCACCATGCAAGAACTGTTTTTTCTTGAGACTAATGTACCTGTTTGACGTTCAAGTAATTAAACCTTAATTCCGGAACCAAATAGTGAAATTTTAATTGCATGGTGATATTCAGATGAATGAAGCAGCCATGGGTGCACTGGAAGAGAAACTGACTTCAACAGGGATATCTGAGGCTTCATGGACAATCAAGACATTGCATTTCGAGCATGCACTGAATAAGATCTCACCATCGGTGTCCGATAAGGTATAATTTACTCTGTCACTAAATCATGGCTTCTGATGAAAAGGTTCTTTGATAGCGGGGACTGGTTAATTAACCTGTTTATATCATCTTGGAACAGCAAAAACAGTTCTATAAGGCATTGTCAGAGAGCTTCAAAGCGGGTTGATAAGAGGTACATCCCATTGACGTGTGCCGTTAACTGGAGCGATAAATCATAATGATTAGTATGGTGGCACCTTTGATCAAGCAGTCTTCAAAAGTAATTATTATCAAAATGGGTCCAATAAGAACGTTTAGCTTGCAAATTAGTTATTCCCTTTAGGGATTAGACATGAATGTGTAGAAGAAGCAGTATATTGATAAAGAAAAGATATTTGTTTTCCAAAATCAAAAGAGCGATTGGGTTGAAAAAAATAAAATAAATTAAAAAATAAAGGATTTCTAACCGGCTTCTTATCCTAATAACGAACATAAATTAAGTTAGATGACAAAAGATAGGATAGAGAATCCGTTGATGAATTCGCCAGTTAAAAAACTTTCTATGCGTAAATTTTCCCATAGCATCTAGGATATTGTCTTCTCCTAGATAATTATGGATAGGGATATCTCTTTGTGTATCAAACAATTTTCGTTTATCAATGTTCATGTTGTAATTATAAGAAACTCCTTCCCTCTTATTTAATTGGAATGGTGATCCATAAGTGTACAGGTCCCTCTTATCTTGATAATTAATAGATTTATATGATAAAAAATTATATCCATAATGTTTTTTCAAATTTTTTTGTTCTTGGTTTAGTTTATATTCTTGATTCAATAATGAATTTGTTTGAAAATTATTTTTTTTCGTAATGAATTGATCTTTCTTTTTCATCTGAATCCCATTTTGAATATGTAAGTGATTCATATACATCATTCCTTTCTTTTATCATCGATTCCACCAATTGATATGTTTCTATGAATAATTGAAATTCAATTCAATTTCTTGATCTGTATCATCAATTTTTGGAAACTTATAAAGTTCTTCTGTTAAGTCTTGATCCATGAACCCACAAAATCCTTCAAATAGTATCTGATTCAACCCAGGTATTGTAGACATTTCCCCATTTTCATCCCCGAGCATTTTGAATTTCCCGCTTATAAAAAAATCTCATTCTTCATTGAATCATACGAATCATTTAATAATGATGGAATTGAATTTCTATTCTGTTTACTGAATCACATGAAATTTTATCTAACTCCATATAATACATATGGAATGTTTGAATATGAAATGCGTACGAACAGAAGAAGAAAAATTATATTCAATTTTGAATTTATATTTATATATTTATAATAAACAGATACAGAAAAGAATTGATAAATGTCATTTAGCCGTACGGAGTTTTGTAGACAATAATAATTCAATTTCTACCATTATTATGATATTACATATTCTAATCCGATTGAATACCAGAAAAATGAAAGGAATTCCTGATTTGATATGTTCGTTGAGATAAAGATAAAATAATTATAAAATAGATTCATAATATATATAATATAGGGAGAGAGTTGATTTTTCTTGCGCTTAATTTTTTTCATGAACTCCATTGTTCAAAAAATGATTCAAAGAGGAGACATCATTTTGGGAATGTACACGCGGTAGAAAAATTACGTCAATCTATTGAGATATGGTATGCTACAAGTGAATATTTGCGACAAGAAATGAATCCTAATTTTAATATGATTGACCTGTTTAACCCAGTCCATATAATGTCTTTTTCAGGAGTTAGAGGAAATGCATCTCAAGTGCACCAATTAGTAGTTATGAGAGAATATATCATTTCTTGCTACGGAGCCCGAAAAGGGGTTGTGGATACCGCCATACGAATATCAGATGTTGAATATCTTACGCGCAGACTTGTTGAAGTAGTTGAACAAATTGTTGTACGTAGAATAGATTGTGGCACCACTCGAGGGATTTCCGTGAGTCCTCAAAAGAGGACGCTTCCGGAAAGAATTTTTATCCAAACATTAATTGGCCGTGTATTAGCGGACGATATATATATATATATAGGTACGCGGTGCATTGCCATTCGAAATCAAGATATTGGGCTTGGGCTTGTCGATCGATTCAAAGCCTTTCGAACACACCCAATATCTATTCGATCTCCCTTTACTTGTAGAAGTACATCTTGGATTTGTCGATTATGTTATGGTCGGAGCCCCACTCATGGTCCTTGGGTTTTCGGGGTATTGGATTCTCGTTAATGTTTGCGTTACTCAAGCTGACCTTCCACTTCGTCTACTCCCGCTCACATGAGTGTTTGCCTATTTGCCGATAGAAATGTTGGCCTACTTCCACACCAGATATATTGTGTAACCCGTTTAGTGCGTTGATGGAACATGATATACCATTCATATTGCCCTCTGACCAAAATAGAACTTTACTTAAAAAAAGGAATTATTTTGATTCAATCTTCTTTTGCCTACTCAAATTCTATATTTTTGACACTGACTAAACTAATCACATAATATTTACGATTTTTTTTCTCTCTTTTGAGCAATTCAGGATATAGTAACCGATTTCATAGATCTATGTAGTTCAAAAAAAATAATTTATTTATCTTATTATTAATTTATTATTAATCAAGGATCCTAATCAGCCCCTCTTACATTGAAAAAACAGATAAGTACTATTTATACCGGAACGAATGGTTATCTTGATTCATTAGAAATTGGACAAGTAAGGAAATTCCTTGTTGAGTTACATACTTAAAAACGAAACAAACCTCAAGTCCAATAAATCATATCTTCTATTAAGACATTCATTAAGGAAGCATAAAAGCATAAAATTTACTTAAATTTTTAATAAAACTCTAATTTTTAATAAAAAATACTCTCTTTCCGACTACTGTTATCTTTTCCCTTAAGCACAGCTTTGCCTTTTCCATGTAAAAAGGAACAAGTGCATATATTATTAATACAATCAATATAGATACCAATACATTTTCCCATGTCATGTCTGATATATTATCAACCTGTTGTGGTCCATATACTCCCTTTTACAAGCACATGACGTCATACAAATCTGTGATACGAAAAAAATGAACTATATATCCATAAAATCAAGGGAAGTGGAGAAAAAAAGGGGTCATCTCAGTTAAAGAACATAAACATGTCACTTCCACTCGACAGAATTGCTTGAAGAACTTGGTGGCAATGGAGACTGCATGATTAATCAATGAATTGCTTGTATATATTTCTGTCTTAAGATTTTAAATTATACCATTATTTCGTTTGCCGTTCTTAGCTTTAGGTGACACCATTATAAGTTTTGAGGTTAAACTCAAGCCAATAGTAGAATTACCTTTTTCATCTTTCGGTCCCAAAAGATTATATTTTTGTTATTTCATTAATCTTTTTGTATTATCTCAGTGACCAAGTCAATTATTTTTAGTGAAAGGATGACATGACAGACAAATCATTGAGATAAAAATACCTGTAGTCCTCAACATTTACGTTCTTTTACCAATTTGGTCCATAATTATAAAATATTACCTTCAACACTTTTATGTTTATTTTTTTTCAATTTGGTGACTAAAATATTAAATCAGTCGTATCAAGAAAAGTTAGATTTATTGAATACAAAAAGATATGAATCTGCACCAGGAGACGTTGGAACATTCAGGAGTAAATTGATCTATACATTGAAATTGCATTTCCATCCAGTGTTTTTATCTATCTTAACATAACATGGTGTAGTTTCCAACAACTTCCAACTTGAATATGAACAAATTCCATCCAGTGTTTATCCAGTTGCATATTGAATCAATATGAACAAATTGATTCAATATGCAACTGATGATCTTTACACTATCTTTGCTACATTTCAAATCAAGATTGATTTATCACTATGTGGTCGACGAATGAGGTGGCAGTGCATAAATTTGCAGAAAAACCCTTACCAACCATTTCTGTTACAACTTGTATTGCCTTAGACGTGTAGTTGTTTCGAAGAAGCCCTTGGATCATTACATTATAACAGCATCTATCAGGCGAGCAGCCATTATCTTCCATGCTCCTAAACAATTGGTATGCTTCATCTGGCAATCCCTCTTTACAGAATCCATCAATGATTACAGCATATGTGTAAACATCGGGTTTTAAACCATTGACTGAGAGTTCACGAAATACTTCCTTTGCAACTTTGATATGGCCAGCTTTGCACAAGCCATCAATTAGGATAGTATATGAGACAATATTGAGCTCAAACCCACTTTTCTGCATTGCTCGAAAAACTTTCAATGCTTCTTCGAGTTTACCACTTTTGCAGCAACCATCCAGCAGAATGGAACAGGTCACTAGATTTGGAACTTGTCCAAAAGCAAACATATTTCTCCAAAGTTCACATGCAACTGAAATTCTCCCAGACTGACACATACCTTGCATAAGAGTGTTGTACGTGACAACATTAGGCTCAATGCCTTGCTTTCTCATTGTGTCGACGATGCCTTCAGCTTCAGAGAAATCATTCCTTTCTTGCAATGCGCATCAGCCAATATACTATACGTGACAACATTAGGCTCAATGCTTTGTTTTCTCATTGTGTCAACAATATCTTCAGCTTCAGAAACCATCCCTTTCTTGCAATAAGCATCAACCAATATATTATACATGACAACGTCAGGCTGAATGCCTTGCTTTCTCATTTTATCAACAATATCTTTAGCTTCAAAAACCATTCCCTTCTTGCAATATGCATCAACCAGTGTAGTATATGTGACAACATTAGGCTCAAGGCCTTGCTTTCTCATTGTGTGAATAGTATCTACAGCTTGAAAAATAAGCCCGTCCTTGCAAAACGCATCAATCAATATACTATATGTAACTATATTAGGAGAAATATTATTATCCATCATTTTTCATTCAAAAGCTTTGTTGCCTCCTCCTGCCGTCCCAAATTACACATAGCATGAATTAAGCAACTGAAGGTAATTATGTTTGGTCTATTGTCCTTAACCTTCACTTCAGAGAAGAGATCTAGAGCCTCCTTTAACAAACCGCACTTACAAAGACAGTCGATAACTGTATTATACACTACAATATCGGGTTTGAAACCTCTTGCTTCCATCATCCTCAGAAACCTAACAGCTCTACGGGTATCACCAGTCTTACACAACCCGTTAAGTATTGTACTGTAAGTAATTAAATGAGGTTGATACCCTTTTTCAACCATTCCATCAAACAAACTCGCAGCCTGAGATATCTTTCTTTGTTTACAAAGTCCATTAATCAAAGTGGAAAAAGTTACAGCAGAAGGTTCAACACCTATCTTTATCATTTTCCCCAAAACAGAAAACCCAAAATCAGTTTGACCTAATTGACAAAAGCAATTAATCAAGACGCTCAAAGAATAAGCATCATGAGGAACTCCTACGAAGTCCATCTGGCTACACATATAAACAACAGCAGCATAATGTTTCATTCGAACAGTGGCTCCTAATAATTTAGTGAAT